CCTGTTAACTCTACGTTATAACATTAGTATATCTTCCTAAATGCTATCCCATCCCTCTCCCTCGACCCCCACGACAGGCCCTGGTGTGTGATGTTCCCCTCTCTCTTTCTTTTTCTTTTCTTTCCCTTCTTCTTCTTGCTCCCTCCTTTCCTCCCGTCCCTCCCTCCCTTCTTTCCTCCTCCCTCCTCCCTCCCTACCTCCCTCCTCCCCTCCCTTCCTCCTCCCTCCCCCTTCCCTTCCTCCCTGCCTTCCTTCTCCTTTTCTTTCCTTCTTGTCAACAGGGTCTTTACTCTGTGTCCCGGGCGCGGAGTTCAGTGCGTGAGCTTCCATAGACTCACTGCAGCCTCAACCTCTCCAGCTCAAGTGAATCCTACAACTTCAGCCTCCCAAGTAGCTTGGAACTACAAGGCATGCTTACCACCACCATGTACGGCGAATTTTTGGTATTTTTTGATAGAGACTGGGTTGTTGATCGTTCCCAGGCTGGTTCAAATCTTGGGCTCAAGAGATTACCCCCTCAGCTTCTGAAAGTGCTGGGGATTACAGGCATGAGCCCCGCCACAAGTCTTTTTAATCACTAAAGTAAGTATAACAAATATATTTTATCTTTTAAAAAGATTACATTAATTGGACCCCAAGCAATCTTCCTTCCATTGATGTTATCACTGCACCTTTGTGGCAGGCAAATCCTCAGTTTTTTCTTTTTCCAGATAAGGAAGTAGAAGCCTGGAAAGAAAAAACACCAAACTCAGAAACTCACCTAAAAGCTGGTCCTATTTAAATAGTTTGAGTTGGTTGGGTGCGGTGGCTCAGGCCGGAATCCCAGTAGTTTGGAGGCCCAGGCATGTGGATCACTGAGCCCAGGCATTCAAGTCCAGCCTGGACAGCATGGCAAAACTCCATCTCTACAAAAAAAAAAATTGGTCGGGTGTGGTGGCACAAGCCTATAGTTCCAGCTGCTTGGGAGACTGAGGGGGGAGAATAACCTGAGCCTGGGAAATTGAGGCTTCAGCGAGCCATGATCATGCCACTGCCTCCACCTGGGTGACAGAGCGAGACCCTGCCAAGAAAGAGAGAGGGAGAGAGGGAAAGAGAGAGGGGGAAAAGAGAGAGAGAGGGAGGGAGGGAAAGAGAGAGAGAAAGAGAGAAAGAAAGAAAAAGAGATAGAATAGAAAGAAGAAAGAAAGAAAAAAAGAAAAAAGAGGGAGGGAGGGAGGAAGGAAGGAAGGAAGAAAGGAAAGAAATCATTTTCTGCCCCAGCATCATAAAGATCTTCTCATACGTATTCTACATTTTTTAAATTTTGTCATTTGCAGTCATGTCTTGACCTCTCTTGGAACTGATTTCTGAGTGTGTAGTAAGATAAAATCCAGTCGCATATTTTGTCCATGGAGATGATCTATTGTCCCAATACCCTGCAATGAAACTCACAGAGCAAGTTTTCATGCATGTGTGGATTTAACAGCAAGCATAGAATAACCAGAAGTCAAGCAGTGCTGCTGGATGTCTGCCCACCTGGAAGTCTGTTCTGGGTCTCTCTTCTGTCCCAAAGGCTGATCTATCCCTGGTAGAAGCTTTGTGCTTTTATCTGCCAATACCAGTCACTCATCGTTTATGTCTGCCAATAGCAGTCACTCATCTTACTCTCCTTCACAGGCATCGGATTTATTCTTTGCCGCCTTCTCAGCTTTTTGGGTTCCACGGAGAAACTCAATTGGGACTTAGATTGGAATTGCATTGAATCTATAAAATCAGGAGAATGAGCATCTTTTGTGATTGAATCTTTCAAAGTGAACATACAATGAATCATTCCGTTTATCTATCTTTCAGCAAAGCTTATAACTTTGGGATTTGTTTCTAGATGCTTTGAGTATTTGGTGCTGAGGATAAGTGGCCTATTTATTTATTTGGGGGACAGGGTCCGGCTCTGTCACCCATTCTGGTGTGCAGTGGTGCAATCACAGCTCATTATAGCCTCAACCTCCCTGGCTCAAATGATCCTCTTGCCTCAGCCATCCCAGTAGCTGGGACTACAGGCGTGTGTCACCATTCTCGACTAATTTTTGATTTTTTGTAGATATGGGGGTCTCCCTATGTTGCCCAGGCTGGTCTTGAACCCCTGGGCTCCAGCGATCCTCTTGCCTCATCTCCCAAAGTGCTGGGATTACAGTTGTGAGCCACTGTGACTAGCATCTATCAAGTTTCTCAACATTTTGTAAACGCAATAGTTAGATGTGTACATTCTTTGGGGGTTTATTGCATATGAGGATGTCATCTGCAAATAAACACACTCTTTTTTTTTTTTTTTTTTTTTGGCAGGGTCTCGCTCTGTCACCCAGGTTGGAGTGCAGTGGCATGATCATGGCTCGCTGAAGCCTCAATTTCCCAGGCTCAGGTTATTCTCCCACCTCAGTCTCCCAAGCAGCTGGAACTATAGGCTTGTGCCACCACACCCGACCAATTTTTTTTTTTTGTAGAGATGGAGTTTTGCCATGCTGTCCAGGCTGGACTTGAATGCCTGGGCTCAAGTGATCCACATGCCTGGGCCTCCCAAACTACTGGGATTACCGGCCTGAGCCACCGCACCCAACCAAGCTAAACCTTATTTAAATAGGACAGCTTTAGGTGAGTTTCTGAGTTTGGGTTTTCTTTCCAGGCTTCTACTTCCTTATCTGGAAAAGAAAAACTGAGGATTTGCCTGCCACAAAGGTGCAGTGATAACATCAATGGGAAGGAAGATTGCTTGGGGTCTCATTAATGTAATCTTTTTAAAAGATAAAATATATTTGTTATACTTACTTTAGTGATTAAAAAGACTTGTGGGCGGGGCTCATGCCTGTAATCCCAGCACTTTCAGAAGCTGAGGTGGGTAGATCTCTTGAGCCCAAGAATTTGAGACCAGCCTGGGCAACATCACAAAACCCAGTCTCTACAAAAAAATACAAAAATTCGCCGTACATGGTGGTGGTACATGCTTGTAGTTCCAGCTACTTGGGAGGCTGAAGTTGGAGGATCACTTGAGGCTGGGAGGTTGAGGCTGCAGTGAGCTATGATATCACCACTGAACTCCAGCCCGGACAACAGAGTAAGACCCTGTTGAAAGAAGGAAAGAAAAGGAGGAAGGAAGGCAGGGAGGAAGGAAGGGAGGGAGGGAGGAAGGAAGGGAGGGAGGGAGGGAGGAAAGGAGGGAAGCAGAAGGAAGAAAGGAAAGAAAGAAAAGAAAAGAGAGAGGGGAACATCACACACCAGGGCCTGTCGTGGGGTCGAGGGAGAGGGGAGGGATAGCATTAGGAGATATACCTAATGTAAATGTAGAGTTAACAGGTGCAGCACACCAACATGGCACATGTATACATATGTAACAAACCTGCACGTTGTGCACATGTACCCTAGAACTTAAAGTATAATAAATAAAGTAAAGAAAGAAAAAGAAAGAAAAGAGAGAAAGAGAGAGAGAGAAAAAGAAGGAGAGAGGGAGGGAGAGAGGGAAGGAGGGAAAGAAAATAAAAGAAAAGATTTGTGAATCTTTCTTGTCTTACATTAATTAAACTGCAAGTTACAGAAAGTCTTGCTTTTAGTTATAGTAATTTTTTTTTTTTTTTTTTGAGATGGAGTCTTGCTCTGTCACCCAGACTGGAGTGCAATGATGCAATCTCGGCTCACTGCAACCTTCCAACTCCTGGGTACAATCCATTCTTGGGCCTCCTGAGTAGATGGGATTACAGGTGCGCCACCACGCCGGGTTAACTTTTTGTATTTTAGTAGAGACTGGGTTTCATCATGTTGGCCAGTCTGGTCTCAAACTCCTGATATCAGGTGATCCACCCATCTCCCAAAGTGCTGGCATTACAGGCATGAGTCACCTTGCCTGGCCAGGTTACAGTAATTTTGACAGTTACTTTAGTTAGAGCCATAATAATCCCTCCCTCAATGAGATTTACAAAATTAATTGGCACATATCACATTTTGCTTTTAAGGAAGTATTATTAATAACATGCCTGTAACTTACAGAGAATTTAAGGTAGGTGAGTGCACTAGCTCAGATATACAACTTGATGTTATCATTTTGTGTGTCTGGGCTATAAAGCATTCTTTTCAGTGAAATGTTCAACCTCAACCTTTAT